GCCAGGCAGCTTTCCAGCCCCCCGTCCCCAAGCCTGTAGCGCTGCATGGGGTTGTTGTGGCCGAAGTGCAGGACCCGGCCCTTGGCCTTGTTGAATCTCATACATTTGGCCTCAGCCCATCGATCCAGCCTGTCCAGGTTCCTCTGCAGTGCTCCCTTGGAGAATTACAGATGAAAAAGGCTATGTATGAGCAGTAGTTTCAGCTGCTGTGGTTATACAGTCTAATTTCTAAATTTTTTTTTTTTATTTTTAAGTGTGTCAGAACCTTAAAAGGGCATTGGATTTAGATCCCCAAATCTGAAGTGGATGTAGGTGCTTGGAGGCAGCCAGGGTGCAAACACAACCAGTCCCAGGAACGTACGTGGAAGTCCTGGGAAGATTATTTTTCTTGGGGGAACCTTACAGGCATTTAGTATTAATTATAAACCTAAACTTTAGAAATGCTGCAACCTGCCACTTGAAAGTCATAGACTTTATCAGACTTGCCAGCACTTACCAGCGTGGTAGAAACCTCTGTTTTGGGGAGCCTGTCACCACAGAGCCTCCATAGAAAGGGATGATAGTGTTAAGGTTGCTGCAGTGAAACAGATCTGGTATCAAGTTGTATCCTATGTGATGTGGTGCTTCCTGGAAAGGAGATGCATTTTAACTGTCCTACGAGCACAGATGCGCCAGATTTGCTTTTCGGCATCCCTTGTGGTACCTGTCCTCAAACAACCTGGAAGCAATGCATTATCACTCTGTTTTTCGCCATTAAACTGTCCTTCATCGACACACCGTAGTGCCTTTTGACTGTGCTGATTGGCTTTTCGTTCAGCAAAGGGTGTAATAGAACTCCTTGGTACTGTTTAGAAAGCGTAACTGAGAGAACACCAGAAAGTACAGTGATTTTTCTGCTGTACGTTTGAAAGCATCAACTGACATAACCCTGTTTTGCGATTTCCAGACTGTCTCTGTATGCAGAACCACAACCCCTTCAGCTTTCATGAGGATTATTTCACCAAGAGAGTTTGTGGATGTGGTGCTAGTGAAGCAGTATGAAGATGGGACGATGCTATCTGCTGGTAAGATGCTTGTGTTCTCAACACGTTCACGTTATGTTCGGAGATAACCAGCAGCTACCTGAAATAAATATAAAATAAAAAATAAGTAATGCGCTGTTTAGCAGTTGTTGATCTGAAGATAAAATATTAGCGGTCTCTTTACATCGTTGTCCTCGGAGTATGTAAGTCACGGTAACGTTCAGATAATGATGATATCGTTGGCCTGTGATTTCTTCCCTTGCTATGCTTTTGAGATTGAGTAAGTATTTCACTTGCTGTTAAGTTCTGGGGGTTTTTGTGTGTGTGGTTTTGTTGTTGATTTTTTAAGAATTTACGGAACTTTCTAAAAGGAGTCCCACTGAGGCTAAACCCTGGTTTAACATTTTCTGCAATGCCTCTAGGTTTTGGTGAAGCCATTGAATAAAAGTACCGCTCCTGTATGTGGAAATAATTGTTCTTATGAAACCAAATAGTGCTGATTTTTAAGGGAGCGCCACTGCGTGGTAGGATGTTTCTTTGTTTTTTCACTTTCATCCTGTTGTTTAACTGTTACAAGTCAGTGCTTTTACTGCCCCGCTGTTCAGCTGTCCCATTTTCCCATCCTGTTCAGGAACACCTTGCCAGGAATTTATATACTTGCTAGAGTGCAGCTTCTCAGCAGTCGAGTGGCATGTATCTCTGTGGTATGGATTTGTCTGAAGTAACTTGAAGGACCTCTCAAGAAAAGCAGTGCCCTCACACAACATGGGTTCAGTGAAACTCCCTCAAAGTGTCTCGATGCTTAGTTCAGAGCTCAGTAACAATTGCCTCTAAATTCAGCACTGCTTT